TTTACTGCTAGGTGCCCCTCAAGGAAGGTTCCTTGATGTTGGTGCTGTATAGTCCTTGTGGCTTAGCGCTTCTTTTTGATTATAATAATAATAATCCTTGATGTTGGTGAGGGGCTCTTGATTTAGGGAATTGGATCTGTGCTCCAGTTCCCCGAATTAAGCCTGAATGCCTTCCACATCCCCCCCCAGGCGCTGTATAATCCTCCGGGTTTAGCGCTTCCCCCTTGATTATTATTATAATAATACTGCTAGGTGAACAGTAGGTGTCTTAAGGAAACACAGACTAGTGTTTCCACCCGTACAGGAGGTCGAGCCATGGACTTCAGTGTGTGAGATGAGTGAGCAACCAACCCAGCTACGGTACACTTGTTACTACAGGTACAATGTTTGTGATGTGGCATAAGGAAAAAAAAACCATCCTATGAAATGCCTAGGCCTGCCTGAAATGCCTAGGCCTGCTAGAGGCTTTGTTTGTAATTAATATTTTGTAATGTGTAAACCAAACGTTGTAAACTTTGCAAGAAAATTTTTTCATTTTCTTTACGATGAAGAACGACAGGAAAAAACCCTCCATGAAAACTATTCTATGAGGAAGTATGACAAAAAACATCCTGTATGACAAGGGAAACTATCCTGTATGATGGAGTATGACAGGAAAACTATCATGTATGATGTAGTATGACAGGAAAACTATCATGTATGATGTAGTATGACAGGAAAACTATCATGTATGATGTAGTATGACAGGAAAACTATCATGTATGATGTAGTATGACAGGAAAACTATCCTGTATGATGGAGTATGACAGGAAAACTATCATGTATGATGTAGTATGACAGGAAAACTATCATGTATGATGTAGTATGACAGGAAAACTATCATGTATGATGTAGTATGACAGGAAAACTATCCTGTATGATGGAGTATGACAGGAAAACTATCATGTATGATGGAGTATGACAGGAAAACTATCATGTATGATGTAGTATGACAGGAAAACTATCATGTATGATGTAGTATGACAGGAAAACTATCCTGTATGATGGAGTATGACAGGAAAACTATCATGTATGATGGAGTATGACAGGAAAACTATCATGTATGATGTAGTATGACAGGAAAACTATCATGTATGATGTAGTATGACAGGAAAACTATCCTGTACGATGGAGTATGACAGGAAAACTATCATGTATGATGTAGTATGACAGGAAAACTATCATGTATGATGTAGTATGACAGGAAAACTATCATGTATGATGTAGTATGACAGGAAAACTATCATGTATGATGTAGTATGACAGGAAAACTATCCTGTATGATGTAGTATGACAGGAAAACTATCATGTATGATGTAGTATGACAGGAAAACTATCATGTATGATGTAGTATGACAGGAAAACTATCATGTATGATGTAGTATGACAGGAAAACTATCATGTATGATGTAGTATGACAGGAAAACTATCCTGTATGATGTAGTATGACAGGAAAACTATCATGTATGATGTAGTATGACAGGAAAACTATCATGTATGATGTAGTATGACAGGAAAACTATCCTGTATGATGTAGTATGACAGGAAAACTATCATGTATGATGTAGTATGACAGGAAAACTATCCTGTATGATGTAGTATGACAGGAAAACTATCATGTATGATGTAGTATGACAGGAAAACTATCCTGTATGATGTAGTATGACAGGAAAACTATCATGTATGATGTAGTATGACAGGGAAACTATCCTGTATGATGGAGTATGACAGGAAAACTATCCTGTATGATGTAGTATGACAGGGAAACTATCCTGTATGATGTAGTATGACAGGAAAACTATCATGTATGATGGAGTATGACAGGAAAACTATCATGTATGATGTAGTATGACAGGAAAACTATCCTGTATGATGTAGTATGACAGGAAAACTATCATGTATGATGTAGTATGACAGGAAAACTATCCTGTATGATGGAGTATGACAGGGAAACTATCCTGTATGATGGAGTATGACAGGAAAACTATCCTGTATGATGTAGTATGACAGGGAAACTATCCTGTATGATGGAGTATGACAGGAAAACTATCCTGTATGATGTAGTATGACAGGAAAACTATCCTGTATGATGTAGTATGACAGGAAAACTATCATGTATGATGTAGTATGACAGGAAAACTATCCTGTATGATGGAGTATGACAGGAAAACTATCCTGTATGATGTAGTATGACAGGGAAACTATCCTGTATGATGGAGTATGACAGGAAAACTATCCTGTATGATGTAGTATGACAGGGAAACTATCCTGTATGATGGAGTATGACAGGAAAACTATCCTGTATGATGTAGTATGACAGGGAAACTATCCTGTATGATGTAGTATGACAGGAAAACTATCATGTATGATGTAGTATGACAGGAAAAACTATCCTGTATGATGGAGTATGACAGGAAAACTATCCTGTATGATGGAGTATGACAGGAAAACTATCATGTATGATGTAGTATGACAGGAAAACTATCCTGTATGATGTAGTATGACAGGAAAACTATCATGTATGATGTAGTATGACAGGAAAACTATCCTGTATGATGGAGTATGACAGGAAAACTATCCTGTATGATGTAGTATGACAGGGAAACTATCCTGTATGATGTAGTATGACAGGAAAACTATCATGTATGATGTAGTATGACAGGAAAACTATCCTGTATGATGTAGTATGACAGGAAAACTATCCTGTATGATGTAGTATGACAGGAAAACTATCATGTATGATGTAGTATGACAGGAAAACTATCATGTATGATGTAGTATGACAGGAAAACTATCCTGTATGATGTAGTATGACAGGAAAACTATCATGTATGATGTAGTATGACAGGAAAACTATCCTGTATGATGGAGTATGACAGGAAAACTATCATGTATGATGTAGTATGACAGGAAAACTATCCTGTATGATGGAGTATGACAGGAAAACTATCATGTATGATGTAGTATGACAGGAAAACTATCATGTATGATGTAGTATGACAGGAAAACTATCCTGTATGATGGAGTATGACAGGAAAACTATCATGTATGATGTAGTATGACAGGAAAACTATCCTGTATGATGGAGTATGACAGGAAAACTATCCTGTATGATGTAGTATGACAGGGAAACTATCCTGTATGATGTAGTATGACAGGAAAACTATCATGTATGATGTAGTATGACAGGAAAACTATCCTGTATGATGGAGTATGACAGGAAAAACTATCCTGTATGATGTAGTATGACAGGGAAACTATCCTGTGTGATGTAGTATGACAGGAAAACTATCCTGTATGATGGAGTATGACAGGAAAACTATCCTGTGTGATGGAGTATGACAGGGAAAGTATCCTGTATGATGGAGTATGACAGGAAAACTATCCTGTATGATGGAGTATGACAGGAAAACTATCCTGTATGATGGAGTATGACAGGAAAACTATCCTGTGTGATGGAGTATGACAGGGAAAGTATCCTGTATGATGGAGTATGACAGGAAAACTATCCTGTATGATGGAGTATGACAGGAAAACTATCCTGTGTGATGGAGTATGACAGGAAAACTATCATGTATGATGTAGTATGACAGGAAAACTATCATGTATGATGGAGTATGACAGGAAAACTATCATGTATGATGGAGTATGACAGGAAAACTATCATGTATGATGGAGTATGACAGGAAAACTATCCTGTGTGATGGAGTATGACAGGGAAAGTATCCTGTATGATGGAGTATGACAGGACAACTATCCTGTATGATGGAGTATGACAGGACAACTATCCTGTATGATGGAGTATGACAGGGAAACTATCCTGTATGATGGAGTATGACAGGAAAACTATCCTGTATGATGGAGTATGACAGGGAAAGTATCCTGTATGATGGAGTATGACAGGACAACTATCCTGTATGATGGAGTATGACAGGGAAAGTATCCTGTATGATGGAGTATGACAGGGAAAGTATCCTGTATGATGGAGTATGACAGGACAACTATCCTGTGTGATGGAGTATGACAGGGAAAGTATCCTGTATGATGGAGTATGACAGGACAACTATCCTGTATGATGGAGTATGACAGGACAACTATCCTGTATGATGGAGTATGACAGGGAAAGTATCCTGTATGATGGAGTATGACAGGGAAAGTATCCTGTATGATGGAGTATGACAGGACAACTATCCTGTGTGATGGAGTATGACAGGGAAAGTATCCTGTATGATGGAGTATGACAGGACAACTATCCTGTATGATGGAGTATGACAGGAAAACTATCCTGTGTGATGGAGTATGACAGGGAAAGTATCCTGTATGATGGAGTATGACAGGAAAACTATCCTGTGTGATGGAGTATGACAGGGAAAGTATCCTGTATGATGGAGTATGACAGGAAAACTATCATGTATGATGGAGTATGACAGGGAAAGTATCCTGTATGATGGAGTATGACAGGAAAACTATCCTGTAAGACAGGGAAACTATCCTGTGTTGGAATATGACATTAAAAGCATCATATATAATGGCTGTGTTAAACACAACTTGAAGCCATAATAACACCTGCAGTTTACAATATACATTTGACCTTGCAAATTCCATTCCTAATGGCAGGAGCCACACAATGTTTTGCAATCATCTGATCAATAAAATATATGATTTCTATGAATTGCAAATTACATTAATGGCAGTAAGGACGCTAGGTGATTAATGTTATCTTTGAAAAATGTGTTTTTTGTGTGTGAAAATATTTTTCTTATCAGTTAAGTGAGAAAGGTAAGGGTAGACCTTGAAGGTTCCAATAATATGAGAGATGAAGAGATAATGACAAAAATAATAATATTGAGGATTAATTAATTATGGATGTCGTGGGGAGGGTATTTTTGAAGGTATTACAGAAGGCAAAGGAGTGAAAATATATCATAGTTTAAAAAAAAAGCATTGTTTATGTGATTTTTAAAAGGGGTAAAATTGTGGAGTGAGTTTTGTTGTTGTTGAGAATGTTAGTGTTAATGGAGGATGTTACTGTTTCCCTTATTTACTGCCTCCGTAACCCCACAGTGACCATTATAATATAGCTGAGGGATGCCTTAAACCCCAGAGTAACCATTGAGCCACCCCGGAGATGCCTGTGACCCCAGAGTGAGAAATAAGAGAGAGAAATGCCTGTGGTACTGGACCGTCTACCCCTACCCAACCTGACCTGGTATTCCGGGTTTAGCGTTTTATTACTCTCCTGTTCGGTTTATTACGCCGGTGTACAGGTCACGTTAAACCCCCACTGGAAGCAGAAGCTCCTAGAGAAGAACAATGCCACTGGAGATGAGGAAGAAGAGGTGTCAGTGTATCATGTCAGTGACCAGGACGGGTCATCTCAGGAGCGTCAGATGACCCCATACCTCATACCAGAGGTCATCAGTTTCATGTTTCATGAGCCTCTCTGTATCTGGGTACGTGCTTGCTGATGCCACCGTTCATGTCTGCTTTATTTCCCGGGGTTGTAAATGTTTTGTTCCCGGGGTCGTAAATGTTTTGTTCCCGGGGTTGTAAATGTTTTGTTCCCGGGGTCGTAAATGTTTTTATTCCCGGGGTCGTAAATGTTTTGTTCCCGGGGTTGTAAATGTTTTTATTCCCGGGGTCGTAAATGCTTTGTTCCCGGGGTTGTAAATGTTTTGTTCCCAGAGTCGTAAATGTTTTTATTCCCGGGGTTGTAAATGTTTTGTTCCCGGGGTCGTAAATGTTTTGTTCCCGGAGTCGTAAATGTTTTTATTCCCGGGGTCATAAATGTTTTTATTCCCGGGGTTGTAAATGTTTTATTCCCGGAGTCGTAAATGTTTTTATTCCCGGGGTCATAAATGTTTTTATTCCCGGGGTTGTAAATGTTTTTATTCCCGGGGTTGTAAATGTTTTTATTCCCGGGGCCATAAATGTTTTTATTCCCGGGGTCGTAAATGTTTTGTTCCCGGGATCGTAAATGTTTTATTCCCGGGGTCGTAAATGTTTTTATTCCCGGGGTTGTGAATGTTTTATTCCCGGGGTCGTAAATGTTTTATTCCCGGGGTCGTAAATGTTTTTATTCCCGGGGTCATAAATCTTTGTATTACTGGGGTCATAAATGTTTTATTCCTGGGGCATAAATGTTTTATTCCCAGGTCATAAATGTTTTATTCCTGGGGCGTAAATGTTTTATTCCCGGGGCATAAATGTTTTATTCCCGGGGTCGTAAATGTTTTATTCCTGGGGCGTAAATGTTTGTTTTATTCCCGGGTCATAAATGTTTTATTCCCAGAGTGTAAATGTCTGCTTTATTTTTGGGTCGTAAATGTTTTGTTCCCGGGTCGTTAATGCTTTATTCCTATAGCATAAATATCTCTTTTTCGAGGATTGTAAATACTTGCTTTATCTTGGATCATGAATGCTTTATTCCAGGATTGTAAATGTCTGCCTTGTTCCAGGATCGTAAATGTCTGCCTTATTCCAGGATTGTAAATGTCTGCCTTATTCCAGGATTGTAAATGTCTGCCTTATTCCAGGATTGTAAATGTCTGCTTTATTCCAGGATCATAAATGTCTGCCTTATTCCAGGATCATAAATGTCTGCCTTATTCCAGGATCGTAAATGTCTGCCTTATTCCAGGATTGTAAATGTCTGCCTTATTCCTGGGTCGTAAATGTCTGCCTTATTCCTGGGTCGTAAATGTCTGCCTTATTCCTGGGTCGTAAATGTCTGCCTTATTCCAGGATCGTAAATGTCTGTCTTATTCCTGGGTCGTAAATGTCTGCCTTATTCCTGGGTCGTAAATGTCTGCCTTATTCCTGGGTCGTAAATGTCTGCCTTATTCCTTATTCCTGGGTCGTAGCTGCTTTATTGTTGGGTCATAAATGCCTACTTTATTTCTGGGTTGTAAATTTCTACATTATTCCTGCAATGTGAATGCTTTATTCCTGAATTGTAAATGTCTGCCTTATTCGCAGGTCGTAAAGGTCTGCCTTATTCGCAGGTCGTAAAGGTCTGCCTTATTCGCAGGTCGTAAAGGTCTGCCTTATTCGCAGGTCGTAAAGGTCTGCCTTATTCGCAGGTCGTAAATGTCTGTCGTATTCCTGGATCATAAATATGTAGATGTGCGGTTGAAATGGTTTTTAGTTAAAATGCTGTATGTCCCTTGTGGGTTTAGTGCTTAATTTTGATTGTAATAATAATTATAGTTAATGAAACATGAAAAAAATGTAACCTGGCCAGACCCAGTGTAATCCAGGTTTTAGTTTAGGAAATGCATGGCTGGACTCGGAGAGTAGTTACTCTTGAAACGCTTCGAAGGTATATATCAAAGGCCAGGCCCCAATTTAACCGAGGTTTTGGTTTAGGAATTGTGACTGAGGGATTAATGCAAATCTTTTTTTTTTTTTAAGTCCAGTATATTATTAATGTGTGATTCAGTGAAAAGATTCGTTCTCTAAAGATTATATTAAATTACTTATTTGGATAGTTAGTATACAGTACATGTATTATTATTTGTTATATTAACTGTATAATCATAAGTAAGCAATAATGTAACAGTGAATGGTATTAGAATTACTGTACTTATTAAGTTACATATATTACAGGAATTATTTAATTGATGAAATTGTTGTTACTTGACAGACACTCATCAACATGGCATATTGTGTACTCATCCTTTTGGGCACCTTAATTCAGCGCTTGGTTTTCGGAGAGTTGCGAGTGTCGGAACAACAGCACATAAAAGACAAGTTTTGGAATTTCGTCTTTTACAAATTCATCTTTGTGTTCGGAGTGATGAACGTTCAAGCAATGGATGAGGTTGTGCTCTGGTGTTCGTGGTTCAGCGTCTTGGGATTTCTACACCTCTTGGCTCAACTTTGCAAAGATCGCTTTGAATATGTAAGTTTGCCTCTGATGTCTGTACTGTTTGTCTTTTAAATTCCCTTAGTGTTGGTAGCAATAATTTCTGCAACCTCAGAATAATTTATCAGAACCTTACAGGTAGAGCAGTGAATCATAAAGAACATTAATGCAGTTAGTACACAAATAACCCGCACATAAAAGAGAGAAGCTTACGACGAAGTTTCGGTCCAACTTGGACCATTGACAAAGTCTAACTATCCAAATAAGTAATTTACGTCGTCGTAAGCTTCTCTCTTTTATGTGCGGGTTATTTGTGTATCGTTCCAGTCATGGTATTGTGCCTTTTTTGTTATTAATGCAGTTAGTAATTGGGATATGCGTACTATTTTTTTCCAGTCTGAAGTTTGAACATCCTAAAGAAATTTACACCTTAAATGCACAATATAGATGCATATTTTCATATAAGAAGTGTACAAATAATACCCAAGCATATGTACACATATGCAGACTAAGGATGTACTAAATGGAGAAAAATATAAGACTAGGCAGCCTATGAGGCTGGAATAGTAAGGAAATGATTGATCAAATTTGTATTTGAAATTGCTAGTTTTTATGCATTTTAACATACCAGCCATCTCCCACCCAGGCAGGGTGACCTAAAAAGAAAAATGAAAGTTTTTCTATTTACATACAGTAATTAATACAGGAGAAGGGGTTACTAGCCTCTTGCTGCCGGCATGTTAGCCACCTTTTGTGACACACACCATCTTACCTCTTTCATTTATTAACTGCCAAGTCTATTTACTCTTAGATTTTCTCAACTTGTTAATTTCTCTCCAAAACTTTCTTATTCTGGCCAAAATTTGCTGATTGAAACTCACTCATCCACACTCATTTGTTTCTCTCTTCATTTTTTATGTGATCATTCAGCCAAATTTCCCTATTTTTTGTGATTTTGGTGGATATAACTTTATGAGGGATTTGTGAATGCTGTGCATCACTGTAAAATAAATTTTCATGCATGAATGACTAAATTGATAACAAATAAACATTGTAATAATATCTGCACCACTGGAAATCAACACTGTTATACTGTATATATCTACCACACACACTTTCTAGAAGACTAGGTGGAATGGCAGAAAATTTGTCGACCACTAAATGATAGGTGTAGATGTGTTGCAGCTTTTTAGCTGTACTGTCAGCATGCCTCTGGCAAAACAGTGTTGGAGTGAGTGATGGTGAAAATATTTCTTCTTTTTCGGGTCACCATGCCTGGTGGGGAACAGCTGATGTGTTAATAAAAAATAATGTCGGGAAATCAAACATATTTCTACTTAACTTTAGATTTATGAAGTTTGCGAGCCTGGTTGATCAGACCCTGATCCACCATTAGGCCTGGTCTCAGACCGAGCTGTGGGGGCGTTGACCCCCGAAACCCTCTCCAGGTAATAGAGCCATTGCCAACCCATATCAAGAAAGACACGGTGAGATGTAACAATCATCAAAAACAAGTGTAGTGTACTGATACTGTAAATGTAAAATGGTAAGTAGGGATAAAATCTACGAATCTGGGGTTTTGTAGATAGCAAACCAGGCAGCAGTGAGGAAGAGGGTATCAGAGGGTGCCTCTGATACCCCTGCTCACTAGTGGTGATAATGTTAGGTAAGACACATATGCAACAGTTAGACAACTTTATTCCGAAATCAAGTCCATCACCCTTGTAGTCGTAGAATTTGAGGTTGTCAGTCCCTCGGCCTGGAGAAGTTCAGTTCCATAGTCAGGAACTGACTATGGAACTGAACTTCTCCAGGCTGAGGGACTGACAACCTCAAATTCTACGACTACAAGGGTGATGGACTGATTACATCGTCTTCACATCTCTACTGTTCCTGCCTATTTTCTGTATTCGACTGAAGAAGCCTACTGTGTAGGCGAAACGTTTCGGAATAAAGTTGTCTAACTGTTGCATATGTGTCTTACCTAACAACCTGTCGGTATTGTATACCATTTTGATGTTCATCAGTGGTGATAATGTCTTGCTTGTCGAGAGGGGACCTGAAGCCAACCTACTCTATATAATATACAGTGGACCCCCGCTTAACGATCACCTCCAAATGCGACCAATTATGTAAGTGTATTTATGTAAGTGCGTTTGTACGTGTATGTTTGGGGGTCTGAAATGGACTAATCTACTTCACAATATTCCTTATGATGAAAAATTCGGTCAGTACTGGCACCTGAACATACTACTGGAATGAAAAAAGTTCGTTAAGCGGGGGTCCACTGTACTTAATTTCATGTAAGGCAATAAAGGAGCGCCGTGTACAGTATTATTAAGTTGCATTACAAAAAGCCGTAAAATGTACATTAGCACCTGGATTGCTCGATATTTGATAGAAATAAAATTTTTAGAATATGTAGAGAATAACAACATAGAATACCATGACTGGAATACACAAATACAGTGGAATCTCGGTACTCGAACTTAATTCATTCCAGAAGGCTGTTTGAGTGCTGATCTGTTCGAGTACCGAATGAATTTTTCCCAACCAATTTTCTTTTTTGTTGGCTGTTATCACCAGTCTTCTTAGGCCCCATGGTGGCTTATTTATGCAAATAATTTAAAAAACACCAAAAATTGCGAAGAAATGCAAAATAGTTTACAGCAAAGTTCTGGCAGGTCGTGTTTGTTTGGTCGAGTACCGAGCAAACGATTGACTATCGAGCGATTTTTTTTTAACAAACAAAGTGGTTGAATACCGAATTGTTCGAGTAGGGAGCTGTTTGAGCACTGAGGTTGCACTGTAACCTGCACATGAGAGAACAAAATTAATGATGACTTTTTGGTCCACGGACCCAAATACCGTCAAGCTTTTCATTCTCCTATGTACAACTATTTGTGTACTGTAATATGTACTTTAGACTTTTAGAGCCTTCTAATTTTCATAAATATATTTTTGATTGCCACTTTTTTTAATGTATTCTGATTATTTATGGTGATTTTCATTAAATAAGAAACATTTTAAGAGGTCAATTTTGTATTGTGCAAATTTTTTGAAAAAAAAAAAAAAATTGGTTGGAACATTTTTAAATAAATTATAGCTGTAATGTAGCTGAATTTCAATTTTTTTTTTTTATTTTTTTATTTTTATGAAAAGAGTTTAATGTAGTGTATGTTTATTTTTAAGGATGTGTGGTGAGTTTTTTGTTTGGTACAGATTGGTCAGCAACTAGATTTACCATAAATACAATACAACGTATACGTGTAATGCCAAAATCATATAATACAGAAAGCAGCAGGGTGGAGCAGGAGCTGTATATTTAGGATACAACAGTGCCTACACTCTGATGGTGTGAGGTATTACACTTCGCAGTCATTTAAATTTTTATATCCACCCACTTCTGGCAAGTGATACAGTGAATGATGGTGAAATTGATTCTTCTTTTTTCGGCCATCCTGCCTTGGTGGGAAATGTGCGGTGTTAATAAAAAAAATACTTCTGGCAAGACAGCTATTAAACCATACCATGCACGACTCACTAACCATGAATTCAAGCCCTGCCTGTGGTATGGTTTGTTTGCAGTCGTGTCATTACGATTTCGTGAGTCATGACAGCTATTGAATGAATGATGGTGAATGTTTCCTTTTCTGGATCCCCTGATCTTAATGGGCAGCAGCTGATAGGTTAAAAAAAAAATACCACTAAATAAAATTGATATGAACTGTATAGTGCTTTGAATATAATTGTTATAATGATTTTTATTTTTAATTGTCATTCTCTACAGTGAACGTAATTGTTATCATTCTTTTCAGTTGTCATTCTCTGCAACAACTCCATGTAGAACGCACGTGAGACTGCTGGGTCTGCTGGGCATTATATTCACTATAGCTTCCTTTTGCCTGCTTATATGTGTTGTTGTTGGCTGTCACTCGGGCATTAATACATGTGCATTTATGGGAGCCGAGGTATGTACAAAGCGATTTAAATAAGACTTATTTTCCACAGGATACTTTTTGCTTGTACTATTATATATTTTTTAATGGGTTTCTGAAAATTGTAATAAATAGTTCATTATATAAACCAGTTTTAGTATATTTATTACATTAGAGTAATCTTCTTAACATAAGTTCTTATATAGACCATTCTTTAACATAAAATTTGTTATTTTCACCCATTTTAGTATATTAAACTAGTCTTAGCATATAGTTTCAAAGTACAATATTGTATTTTTGTTCAGTACTTGAAGGCTGTGCAGCTCTGTATATAATAATAGCTCTGAAAGGTGAACAAATTCTTTAGTGGCCCACAAGGCATAAACCAATGCAGATTCATACCCATTACTCACATCTCTAACCCCAGTAAGGACTATTGCTCACTATTCCACTCCAGATTAGCTTCGCACATTTCTGCTCCGCTCATCAGTGCTCACGTTGTGACCAGAAGCCTCTAGTGACAGATCCCATTAGTCGCCATCACAGCATACCGTATTTTCCAGCATGTAAGGCACATGACAGAAGGATCATAAAAGTAAATCAGTGACCATATTCAAAGGCTAATAACCCTGATACTTTACATTAAAGCCTACCCTTGAGCATACAAGGTGCAGGCTGATTTTCCAAGACTTTTGTGGGGAAGAAAGTGTACCTTATATGCTAAATCCATATGGGTCATGCAGTGCAAGGAGTGGTGGAGGCTTGATTCTCCATCTACTTATAGCAAAACAGAGTTTCTACTCCCACAGCTGGTTATCAACCAGTATAAAACCCATAGCTGGTTATCAGCCAGTATAAAACCTATAGCTGGTTATCAGCCAGTATAAAACCCATAGCTGGTTATCAGCCAGTATAAAACCCATAGCTGGTTATCAGCCAGTATAAAACCCATAGCTGGTTATCAGCCAGTATAAAACCCATAGCTGGTTATCAGCCAGTATAAAGCCCATAGCTGGTTATCAGCCAGTATAAAACATGTGGGGAAATAGGGAAGGATCTCTGTAGGCCACCAGGTCTTGACTCGGGCACATATTTCTCATTCTTGAAATCTCTTATTCTGTGTTGGTCCTTAGTGGTGGGCTACGATCAGTACCGATGGTACACAGAAAGAGAGAACAGCATTTGAATAGTGGTGAAGATCCAGTAACCCTGTCATGTAGTTTGGAATTCTCTTTCATAGGAAGGACACTTTAGACCGAAGTGCTAAAAATCTTGTCAGCCTGTCTTTACTTGGAGGATCTTGTTTGATTACCCTGTGCAAAACCCACATCTGGTTGTGGGAGCCAACCAAAGCTAACCATAGACTTGTAAGATCAATCCTGAATGTTGCATTCATACCATATAAAAGAATTGGTAACAGTCGGCAAGCAATTTTGCATAGTCTCGAGTATTAGTACACAAACACATGGATGTCACTTTACTGTAGATCACACAGCAAGGAACTAGCAGGAACTTGTACTCGTGTTAAGCAGCCTGAATTCTAGAAGATAAGTTGGTTTCACTCCTATTATTCAAGTACACAGTTGTCCCTGGAAGATTATGAAACACGGATAGTCCAGAGGCTTAGTGACGGATCATGCACATTGTTATACAAATATAAAATTTGTCTCACAGTTTATTTAGTCCACAATGACTCATTTAAATACTGGACCCCAACAAGATTCAGCTTCTGAAAGAAATGATGAGTTTCCTTGTCTGATGAAGAGCACTCAGAATATTTAGTCCACCTGTCACATAAGTGGTAAGACAAAACCAGTTGCCACTATAGAGGAAGTAGGTGTTACCATATGCTCGTCCTGGTTGTCATTAGTTGGTAAGCAGTGGTGCTGGCCACTAGAGGTCTCTGGGTTCAACCTATGAGCATAGATCGGAGGAACGGAGGCAGAGGAGGGTACTTTGTGAGTGGAAAAGTATGTGATAGTCCTTATTCTTGCCAGAGAGGTGAGTAATGGGTGAACATGTGTGCTGTTATATGTTTATAGGGGTCAGCAGTGCAGTTTCTGATGAGCCACTAGAAATATAACCTTTGTAGTAATACAGTAAAATTTCATATTACATGCCCTTATTTTGGTGCAATTTTCTTCACAATCAAAAATTTAGTTCCAGCAGACTTCTAAACAAAATTTCTTCATTTTTTTTTTTTTCAACAAGTTGGCCGTCTCCCACCGAGGCAGGGTGACCCAAAAAAGAAAGAAAATCCCCAAAAAGAAAATGCTTTCATCATCATTCAACACTTTCACCACACTCACACATTATCACTGTTTTTGCAGAGGTGCTCAGAATACAACAGTTTAGAAGCATATACGTATAAAGATACACAACATATCCCTCCAAACTGCCAATATCCCAGTTTGGAGGGATATGTTGTGTATCTTTATACATATATGCTTCTAAACTGTTGTATTCTGAGCACCTCTGCAAAAACAGTGATTATGTGTGAGTGTGGTGAAAGTGTTGAATGATGATGAAAGCATTTTCTTTTTGGGGATTTTCTTTCTTTTTTGGGTCACCCTGCCTCGGTGGGAGACGGCCAACTTGTTGAAAAAAAAAAAAAAATCTTCATACCATTCAAAATTTCACTAATGAGTACATGTTGACTTTAAATATCCTGAGCTATTAATATGTCCAACATTTTTGTATTTCAGTGCATACTTTTGGTAGTGCGAACCTTGCACGTGATCACCCGGTATTGTATCTACCTCTGGGATATCACACATGAAGGTTTATGGGAAGAACGAGGTAAGCCTGCATACACTTAATAACATATTAATTAATACTGGCAGCTAATACAGCCTTCATCACTCAACAACGGAGTTCCGTTCCTAAGACTACATCTGTAAATGAATTCCTTGCTGAGTGAGGATTACACTATAACTGTATACAAATGCATTCACTTAGGACAACGTTAATGATGTTTCCAGTCTTGACTTTGATTGAAGTTTACTGTAATATGATAATTAATGAATAATTATAAATGTATATAGTATATGGATAACTCCATGGGGAAGTGGAACAGAATTCTTCCTCCGTAAGCCATGCGTGTTGTAAGAGGCGACTAAAATGCCTGGAGCAAGGGGCTAGTAACCCCTTGTCCTGCATATATTACTAAATTTAAAAGGAGAAACTTCTGTTTTTTCCTTTTGGGCCGCCCCACCTGGGTGAGATATAGCTGGTTTATTGAAAGATGATGATGATGTATGGATAAATCAAATCAATCTTGTTTGTAGTGGACGCACCAGCGTTCAGTACACTACTGATTTTTTCAAAGAATTTATTTGATACCATTTAACAAAAAAGACATGTGTACAGCAAGCTTTTATTATGATATCATTCCTCTCAGTGCAGAACTTTATCAAGCAATACAATAACAATTATAATGCAGGGCTTTATTTTTCAAGAGAATACATTTTTTTACAAAAATTTCTAACTTGGAAAAGCCCATAGTTATTTTCAAATTAAAATCTTGTTCTACACCTGTATCTTTCCTTCAGTACTTTGATCAGTATGCCTTTGTATACATCATTTACACTGTCTTGTTTGTGACCCTAAGGACGCTATGTGTACATAACTGAGCTGGTGTACGAGCTTAGTGAGCTGGTGATCGACATGGTTCATCACATTCACATGCTAGTATGGGGTAACATGTTCCTGACCATGGCATCACTTGTCATATGTATGCAGCTGAGGCTTCTCTTCTATCAGCTGCAGCACAAAATCAAGTCGCACCGCAACTACCTTAGGGTTCTTCAACTTGTGAATATGTAAGTAACATTTCCTTGTTATTTTTTTTTAACACATTGGCCACTCCCCAGAGAAGAAAAACACTTTCACCATCACTATTACTGTCTTGCCAGAGGTATGCCAATACTACAGTTCAGAAACTGCAACATATCCTCACCCATCCTTCAGTGTAGGCACTGTCCTTCCCACCTCCAGGACTCAACTCTGGCTATGATGTAACCTTGTTATACCATGGATTATTATAACGTCACATTCCCTTCAAGGGGTGAGGCCTTAATGCTGGTGAAGGGCTTCTGATCTGAGGACTCCTTTTTTTATACAGTTTTCAACCCAACATTGGGTTTTTATCATATATAAGCACTTTTAGTCTTAATGTCCTTTTCAGGACCAAAAGCATAAAGAAAATTAACAACTACGTAGTCTACCAAAATGCTTTGTATACTGTGGGCATTCAGTTTATTGTACCAAGTATATATTAGGAATTAAAGTCACTACTAGTACTACCACTACCAGTAATGGTACTACTGTTACTAGTACTACTACTAGTAATGCTACTAGTACTGCTGCTGCTGCCACAGTGACATTACCCATGCTTATCTCAGGTTTACTGTTACCAAGAAATAGTCCTCTTTTCTCCCAGTTATTCTAATCTCTGCCTCACTCTCCTCATAAAAAGCATTTTCTTTCTTTCTTTCTTTCAACACACCGGCCGTATCCCACCGAGGCAGGGTGGCCTAAAAAAAAAAAATGAAAGTTTCTCCTTTTACATTTAGTAATATATACAGGAGAAGGGGTTACTAGCCCCTTGCTCCCGGCATTTTAGTCGCCTCTTACAACACGCATGGCTTACAGAGGAAGAATTCTGTTCCACTTTCCCATGGAGGTAAGAGGAAATAAACAAGAACAAGAACTAGAAAGAAAATAGAAGAAAACCCAAAGGGGAAGTATGGATTTGTCAGTTAAAAACAGAGTAGGGGAGTTAGTAGATGGGGAGATGGAGGTATTAGGTAGATGGCGAGAATATTTTGAGGAACTTTTAAATGTTAAGGAAGAAAGAGAGGCAGTAATTTCATGCACTGGTCAGGGAGGTATACCATCTTTTAGGAGTGAAGAAGAGCAGAATGTAAGTGTGGGGGAGGTACGTGAGGCATTACGTAGAATGAAAGGGGGTAAAGCAGCTGGAACTGATGGGATCATGACAGAAATGTTAAAAGCAGGGGGGGATATAGTGTTGGAGTGGTTGGTACTTTTGTTTAATAATTGTATGGAAGAGGGGAAGGTACCTAGGGATTGGCGGAGAGCATGTATAGTCCCTTTATATAAAGGGAAAGGGGACAAAAGAGACTGTAAAAATTATAGAGGAATAAGTTTACTGAGTATACCAGGAAAAGTGTACGGTAGGGTTATAATTGAAAGAATTAGAGGTAAGACAGAATGTAGGATTGCGGATGAGCAAGGAGGTTTCAGAGTGGGTAGGGGGTGTGTAGATCAAGTGTTTACATTGAAGCATATATGTGAACAGTATTTAGATAAAGGTAGGGAAGTTTTTATTGCATTTATGGATTTAGAAAAGGCATATGATAGAGTGGATAGAGGAGCAATGTGGGAGATGTTGCAAGTATATAGAATAGGTGGTAAGTTATTAAATGCTGTAAAGAGTTTTTATGAGGATAGTGAGGCTCAGGTTAGGGTGTGTAGAAGAGAGGGAGAATACTTCCCGGTAAAAGTAGGTCTTAGACAGGGATGTGTAATGTCACCATGGTTGTTTAATATATTTATAGATGGGGTTGTAAAGGAAGTAAATGCTAGGGTATTCGGGAGAGGGGTGGGATTAAATTTTGGGGAATCAAATTCAAAATGGGAATTGACACAGTTACTTTTTGCTGATGATACTGTGCTTATGGGAGATTCTAAAGAAAAATTGCAAAGGTTAGTGGATGAGTTTGGGAATGTGTGTAAAGGTAGAAAGTTGAAAGTGAACATAGAAACGAGTAAGGTAATGAGGGTATCAAATGATTTAGATAAAGAAAAATTGGATATCAAATTGGGGAGGAGGAGTATGGAAGAAGTGAATGTTTTCAGATACTCGGGAGTTGACGTGTCGGCGGATGGATTTATGAAGGATGAGGTTAATCATAGAATTGATGAGGGAAAAAAGGTGAGTGGTGCGTTGAGGTATATGTGGAGTCAAAAAACGTTATCTATGGAGGCAAAGAAGGGAATGTATGAAAGTATAGTAGTACCAACACTCTTATATGGGTGTGAAGCTTGGGTGGTAAATGCAGCAGCGAGGAGATGGTTGGAGGCAGTGGAGATGTCCTGTTTAAGGGCAATGTGTGGTGTAAATATTATGCAGAAAATTCGGAGTGTGGAAATTAGGAAAAGGTGTGGAGTTAATAAAAGTATTAGTCAGAGGGCAGAAGAGGGGTTGTTGAGGTGGTTTGGTCATTTAGAGAGAATGGATCAAAGTAGAATGACATAGAAAGCATATATATCAATAGGGGAAGGAAGGAGGGGTAGGGGTCGTCCTCGAAAGGGTTGGAGAGAGGGGGTAAAGGAGGTTTTGTGGGCAAGGGGCTTGGACTTCCAGCAAGCGTGCGTGAGCGTGTTAGATAGGAGTGACTGGAGACGAATGGTACTTGGGACCTGACGATCTGTTGGAGTGTGAGCAGGGTAATATTTAGTGAAGGGATTCAGGGAAACCGGTTATTTTCATATAGTCGGACTTGAGTCCTGGAAATGGGAAGTACAAATGCCTGCACTTTAAAGGAGGGGTTTGGGATATTGGCAGTTTGGAGGGATATGTTGTGTATCTTTATATGTGTATGCTTCTAAACTGTTGTATTCTGAGCACCTCTGCAAAAACAGTGATAATGTGTGAGTGTGGTGAAAGTGTTGAATGATGATGAAAGTATTTTCTTTTTGGGGATTTTCTTTCTTTTTTGGGTCACCCTGCCTCGGTGGGAGACGGCCAACTTGTTGAAAAAAAAAAAAATGTATGTGTAGTGTGACCTAAGTGTAAGTAGAAGTAGCAAGACATACCTGAAATCTTGCATGTGTATGAGACAAAAAAAAAGACACCAGCAATCCAACCATCGTGTAAAACAATTACAGGCTTCAGTTTTACACTCACTTGGCAGGACGGTAGTACCTCCCTGGGCGGTTGCTGTCTACCAACCTACTACCTAGAAAAAAAGCTTTTTATCTTTTAATAACTTACCTATTCTACACATTTGCAATACCTGCCACATTTCCTTCCTGTCCCCTCGACTATATGCCTCTTCTCAAATTTATAAATGCAGGAACTAACATTTCAAAGAATTATTTTTCTACATTCTTCCTAGGTTTTAAATAGTACTGATTGATGTATTGTCAGAATAGAGAAGATTAATTTTTTCATTTGACACTTTAGGTACCCTGAAGTGTGTGGTACAGACATCTTAGTAGAAGAGAGTACATGTGCCATCTGCTGGGAACACTTGGAGAGTGGTCGCTGCCTTCCGTGTTCACACGTCTTTCATGCTTCATGTTTGCTGGCTTGGCTACACCAAGATTTGTCATGCCCAACGTGTAGACACAAGTTACACAATCCTGAACAGGTATATTGTATTTGTTTCTATTTTACCACACTGGTAATTTCCCACCCAGAAGTACATGAACATACACAGATAGCCTGCACATAGGAGAAAGAAGCTTATGACGATGATTTGGTCCGACTTGGTCTAGTCAGCGGTCCAAGTTGGACTGAAATGTAATCATAAATATAATCATAAATGTAATCATAATCATAAATAAGCTTCTTTCTCCTATGTGCTGGTTATTTGTGTATTGTTCCAATCACGGTATTGTGCCTTTTCATTCTTTACACGAACATAATAATTCAGATGACAAAGATATTTGCAAGGTTTGTCCCTGCAGCATCCATTTGAGAGTATTGGAGTGTGGCATCACCACAAGATTTTCAGTTTCCCCTTTTCATGAAAGAGCACATTTGACTTCATTTTATTAGCCTCTTTCAATGCCCAAACATGTTTACTGTGTGTGCTTTACTTTCTTAATGCTTTCATCTTTATAGCTGATTCTCCTGATTTTTTTACAATGAGGATGACCCAGGTGTCCTTTTACCATTATCCTTGCCTTGCTACAGCAATTATGACTCTGGTCTTTTTGTCATTATCCTCACCTTGCTACAATGAGTATGACCTCCACTCTTTTCCCACTTTCCTCACCTCAATACTGTCAACTCTTTCTCTCTACTGGTATCTTTGCCCTTGTTGTGTAGTGCTGAATGAACCACATATATTTGGTGCTGTATCCTTTTAACTGGGTTCAACGTACTAGTATGTAAGTGATGATTATATGTCCAACATATTAGTATGCACAATTTTCCATGCCCAAGTACGCCATCTGCCAATATTTTTGTTCTCAGCGTAACCTCTTGGGGCTTCTACCACCTTCTCATTCCTTAGAAAAATCAAAGGCCAGGTGGACTCATTGTTAACACTGGCAAACTACAATAAGTAAAGAAGGAAACCATGACCTGTTGTTCCACCATCACCTTCGTAGACAGTGTGGAACTGACAGGAAGATGCCTTATTCATTCCAGATTTATTACAGTTTCTTTTTTCTTTCTTTCAACACACCGGCCGTATCCCACCGAGGCGGGGTGGCCCAAAAGGAAAAACGAAAGTTTCTCCTTTTACATTTAGTAATATATACAGGAGAAGAGGTTACTAGCCCCTTGCTCCCGGCATTTTAGTTGCCTCTTACAACACGCATGGCTTACGGAGGAAGAATTCTGTTCCACTTCCCATGGAGATAAGAGGAAATAAACAAGAATAAGAACTAGAAAGAAAATAGAAGAAAACCCAGAGGGGTGTGTATATATGTGCTTGTACATGTATGTGTATGTGTGACCTAAGTGTAAGTAGAAGTAGCAAGACATACCTGAAATCTTGCATGTTCATGAGACAGAAAAAAGGACACCAGCAATCCTAACCATCATGTAAAACAATTACAGGCTTTCGTTTTACACTCACTTGGCAGGACGGTAGTACCTCCCTGGGCGGTTGCTGTCTACCAACCTACTACCTATTTATTACAGTTTCATGATATTAAAAGTAAAATTAAGCCACAATGCACAATTTGTAGATTTAACCCAATAATATCAAACAATGAGACTTATTCCATGTTTTGATGAGTATTACACCTTGAAACAATTGTAATATCAATAAGTATTACTTGAGTATATTTTTAGATTAAAAATAGAATAATTTTTTTTTTTTAACATGTTGGGTCGTCTCCCACCGAGGCAGGGTGACCCAAAAAGAAAATACTTCCATCATCATCATACACTTTCACCTCACTCATACATAATCACTGTCGTTGCAGAGGAACTCAGATACGACAATTCAGAAGTCCCTCCAAACTGCCAATATCCCAAACCCCTCCTTCAAAGTGCAGGCATTGTATTTTCCATTTCTAGGACTCAAGTCCAGCTAACCGGTTTCCCCGAATCCCTTCACAAAATATTACTCTGCTCACACTCCAACAGCTTGTCAAGTCCCAAAAACTAATCTTTGTACCAAATATTCCGGTGGATCATTGTTGGACTAAGTATTTCTCCATGTTTAAAGTAATGAAACACTTTGAAACACATATAACAACTTGGGTATACAGTGGTCAATATTAAAAGCCATTTAAAACTGAAAAACAATTAGAATTTGTTATCAGTAAATTGTCAGATGTTAATATCACTGGCTCATTAATACTCCTGTTGTCAGTGAGTGATCATTTTTTTACCAACTTCGGAACACCATAAAATCTTGATTTTTGTATCAGATTCCACACATTTTAGTCTTATTTGATTCATAAAAGCATACTCATTCATTCTGTGAGATTTTTTTTTTTTTAAATCTTGCAGCTGGATTGTAGACCATCTCTATAAAGCGAATATTGCCTTAAAGCAAATCACAGCTTTTTTTTTCCACTTGCCAGTGCATATAAAAGCTTAAAATATGTTTACACTATCAAGTTATTAAGTATGAAATAACACTAGACCTAAAAAAAAATGCAGAGGTAAAAATTATAAATAATTTTTTTTGAAAATTGCTGAAAAACCATTTTAAGAGCAAGTCAAGAGTCGAAAATAATAAACATGAATGTAATTGAAAAGCGCCATATTAGTGTAGTGCTCTAAAGCGAGTGCCATATTAACAAGGTATGCCTGCAGTTGTTTGAACTATTGAAGTACCATTTCAAAACATTTGATTTCTTCAATCCACCAGGATGATTCAAGGTCACTGTCTACTTCACTGCTGGATGGTTTTCTTCCTACAAGCGAAGAAAGCGGGATTGGACAGGAAAATGGAGTGGGAGACGTTGGCCGAGGAGGTGCAGGTGGCTTTCCTTCCCCTGCTGCTCCTGAAGGGTCCCCAGGCACGGCAGGGTGGCGCTATGTATCCTGGCTTCCCAGTTTCAGTGTCGAACAGAGTCATACACAGCTGCCACGGCATCACCAGGCCAATTCACAACCAGCTTCAACTTCTCAATTGGATAACCTTGCCAGACAGGTAATTTTGTATATATTTTTTGTTACAGCGAGGTTAATTCAGCAGAGATATCATGTTTGAGTAGAAATTAAAAGGCAGTCTGGGGTCACCAAGGGTATAATTGCAATGTGGGATCACCAAAGGTATAATTGCAATGTAGGGTCACCAAAGGTGACCTCAGAGGTCTTATTGAGGTGGTTTTGGCATGTAGAAAGGGATGGGTTGAAGTAGAAGTAGGGGTTGTTGCAGGAATGGTTGGTGGGAAAGGGGGGGGTAAGAGAGGCTTGGAGTTTTAGGGGCTTAAGCATCCAGCAGGCTTGTGAGAGCATGTGTGTATTAAAACTGAGTAGAGAGAAATGAGTTGTAATGGATGTGCTGTTGGAGTGTGATCTTCATAAACAACAAGGAACTAATCAAAGACATAACCATCACAAAAATAATATACTCTGATCACGACATCGTAGAAGTACAAATGAGTATAAACTCAGGTGGGGAACTCCAGCAATAATATACGAGAAGGGATATTCAGTAAACTAACTTCAACAACCACAGAATTGATTGAGACAAAATAAGCCAAGAAGTATGAGACATATCTTGGGAAACAGTCATGAGCACCCTAAATCCTCACCAGTGCCTGGAAAAACTAAACACAGAAGCATTGAAGAAACATACAAGATCAGACATAGATTGTACAGAAGAAAAAGGGGTGACTGAATTGCTTAAGACTGTGAATGAGACAATAAAGGAAAGATACGAGGAAATATAAACACATATGCAGTACAATGTGATCCTTTATTGACAATGTTTTGCCCACACAGTGGGCTTTTTCAAGTCACAAACAGATCTGTTTGTGACTTGAAAAAGCTCACTGTGTGGGCGAAACGTTGTCAATAAAGAATCACATTATACTGCATATGTGTTTATATTTCCATTGTGTCGGTATTTTATACCATTTATTTCCAAAGGAAAGATACTCTTAAGTTATTGTGCCAGAGAGAAACAGCACAAGGGAAACAAAAAGCTATTCAGTATATTGCAAGAAGCCTCCCTTTATACCTATACAGGTTGACCATCACTGATCTGGTGTGTAAACGTCCATTATTTCTTGTTCACTTATGAAACTGCGTTACTCTAGACCTTTTAGCAGTTCACCTGTCAATTTACCAATAGAGACGCTAGCAAAAATTAGTGCTAGATCAATGTTGGCTGACCTGTACTACTACATTACTACTGCTACTACTATTATTATTAATCTGTATTTGGCTATTTGTTACAGGTACAGCAAATGTTTCCTGACGTGTCATATTCACATGTCTTGGAGGATCTTCGACACACTCATTCCTTAGAAATAACAATTGATAATATATTGGAGCAACGCTTGGTCAGTCCACCACCAATGTTTACTTCTGATGATAGTCCAAGGTATGTTATACTTTGAAATTACTGTTCTATTAATAATAATATTGATAATATCCAAATCATCATTGTTATCTTTCAAACAACTTGTATCAAAATAATCCTTATACAATTAGAAAAAATACCAAGTATTGCCTATATTAAAGTAATACTGTATTGTTGACTGGTCAACCATCACTAATCCAGCATCACTGGGACCTGTAGGGTGCCAAATTAGTGATTTTACCAGATCACAGATTGGTTAGGTTAGAATACACTTGCCAAAATTAGTGCCAGATTAGTGATGGAACAGGATGAGTGGTGGCCAACTGTAGTTGACAGGCTTTAAAGCCAGCTAGTTGTCTCAGTGCAAATATCTCGTGCACACAACCACTTAACAAATTTTAGTGATAATCTGTTACTAACTGTATATATATATATATATATATTATTTCAGCATATTTTATGATGTTAAACAAGATAAAGAGAATAAACAACAAAGGATGAAAGAAGAGGATGATGTAAAGGAAGAAGAGTATTTTCAGGATGGTCAGGCAGTAGCACTCTCCAGGCAGCATGTAGCAACAACACTGGACTTCTTAGCTACCACAAACACCTCAGAAGACTCCAGTGATACCGAGTCGGAAGGGTAAATTACGTTTCTTTTCTCTGTATATAATATCTGAGGAATCCCACCCTGAAGGAGGGATGGAGATACGCTGCAGTTTTTGGACTGTAGTATCACCATGCCTCTGGCAAGGCAGTGATGGGGTGAGTGATGATGAAAGTGTTTCTATTTTGCGTCGCTCCGCCTCGGTGGGAAACGGCCAGTGTGTCAGTAAAAAAAAATGTTCTCATAGCTTGTTTGAATAGGAATGAGTGGAAGCAAGTGGTTTTTATGTTGGAGTGTTACTAAAGTAACATTTATGAAGGGATTCAGGGAAACCAGTTTGCCAGACTTGAGTCCTGGAGGTGGGAAGCACAGTAGGGATATTTGCAGTTTTGAACTGCAGTATCGGCACCCTTCTGGCAAAGACAATATTAGAGTGAGTGATGGTGAAAGTATTTCTTCTTTTTTGAGCTATCGTGCTTCAGTGGGAAATGGCCAGTGTGTTAAAATAAAAACCATTCATCCTCAGGTTCCTCTTGTATGAAATCATTACTATTGCCTCTCTAGTGATGGGCTTTTAACCCAAGGAACTTCACTTGTCCTCCATTTGTGGATTAAATCTGATTGCTCCCCTATTTTTTTCCTGGCACTGTATGACCTCTGATGAGTTTTGCGAGTCTTTCTACTGGAGCCAGGCATGGACCAGGCTTGTCTGGTGCTAGTCTGGTCAACCAGGCTTGTCTGGTGCTAGTCTGACCAACCAGGCTTATTTGGTGCTAGTCTGACCAACCAGGTTTGTCTGGTCAACCAGGCTATAGGTGTAGTCCTCTGAAATTTATATAATAACCCAGAGCAGGCAGAAAAAGAAATGTAAATTTAGTGAAAGTGAAGGAGTGAGAGTAGCGTTGAGTGTCCAAGATTACGAAAAAAATAATAAAACAGCCAGGCTGAGGGAACATAATATAGAGGGTGGAGGACTAAAGGTGACTTTTTTTTTCCCGTATAATAGTAAAATAATATAACTCACGAAATCGTGATAACACAGTTGCAAACAAACCAGGGTACGGGTGGGGGTTGAACTCACGGCAAGTGCGTGGTAAAACTCCAGGCCAGCTGGCCTGGAGTTTTATGATTCACTTGCCATGAGTTTGACCCCTACCTGTACTGTGGTTCATTTAATAATAATCCCAATAAAGAGGGATGGCAAGGGACTTTACTAATAACATGCATCAGCATATTAATGAAAAAGGCTTGAGGTTTGTTAATATTTTCGGACCAGACAAACCATGGAACGGGCGGGGATTGAACCCATGGCAATTGAGTCCTGCAGCTCCAGGCCAGTGCATCATCCACTTGGCCGTGGTTTGCATGCAGTCTGTTGTTGTGATTTTGTGGATGAGATGAGACAGTTTTGTATTGAAAATTCAGTAAGAATTAAGAACACCAGTATTGTATTGACAAAGCAGTGGGACTAGATTGGACTATGTTATCCAGTTGACTGTTTGTAGGCCTTCATTACAAGAATGTAAACTGCTAGACAAATAGAAAATTGCAGCCATTGTGAGGGGTCAAACAGTGCCTTGGGAACGGGAGGAAAGGCCCAAGTCTTTGAATTAAAAGCCTTTTGATTGGCATGAAGGCCCCTTTTATAATGGAAATTATACCACAATACAATTGGAAAAGTAGTGCAATACTTAGTGTCAACACTTGTACTTGCAAACAGACAGGAATGCAGTGTAATGTGATATTTTATTGACATTTCTTCCATGCAGTGGACTTTATCTTATGTGACTTGAAAAAGGCCACTGTGTAGGTGAAATATTGCAGCTGAAGGATCTCGTTACACTTCATTCCTCTGTCTGTTTTCATTGTGTCGATATTTTATGGCATTTCTCTCCAATACTTTTACCTCTTCAAAGTGATACCCTAATTTTATATCTCTTTTGTAATTGTTTATAGGTTTTATCCATTAATTTTAGCTGCAACACTTGTACTATGTTATTTAAAGTTTCTTAAATTCTCAGGAGTGGTTATGGAATTGGCTCGTGCGGTGCTGGCTGTCGTTTCAGTAAGTCCCCACAAGAGAGAGAACAAATTTTGGCCCAGCGAAAGACTGCCTTGCTCAACCAGGCTCGCAATCGCTTTGTTACTAGATCAAGAATTGGCTCGTATAAGGAAGACAGTTCATTGGTTGAGGATGCTGAATGTTTGGGAAACTCCTGAGGTGATGAATTTTTAAAAAGTTGCCATAAATTGCTATATTGTTATTGTCAGAGGAACTTGGTCTTTGACAATGAAGATTTATCTGATTATTTTTTGTACATTATTGAATTGAAAGTGAAATTTAATTCATTAATGTATTGTACTATTTTTATGCTTATTTTGGTTGTTAAGAAAAAGTTTAGTAGAGTAACACCATACTGAATACAATACAGTAATATAATTACTTGACCGATGTGCTTGTTGTAAAGTATATAAACGTCAGTTACTGCTTATAAAATTTTAAACGCCAAATAGGCAATGTGATACAAGAAGGTCAGTAGATGGATGAAGAGGTATATGGTACTAATCACACACACACACAATATATATATATGTAATACAGTAGGGCCAACAACTTACGACAGTGAATTTCTGAAAATCGTTTATAACTACAGTACTATAGTGTTCAGAACTCTGACCCTAGACACCCATGTTATTATCAGAGATGTGTCCCGTAGCTATAATATTCAGTATCTAATATCTTTTATTTTTAACCAAGAATATTTATCGACTATTTGACATTCAGTACAGCTCCATTTCACTTATAAATAATATATATATGTTAAACAGACCAGAGCTACAATACAGAAGTGTAGGGGTTGGCAGCACGTGGACTGTTTCACGCACTCTCACTGTCCTATTGACTCCCATCCTCTGTCATATCTAACACAATACTCTGTTCAGTAAAAGGATACAAATGCAACACTTTATTGTGGTAACGTTTCTCTCTCCAGAGGTGAAACGGCTTGACAAAGCTCCTGGAGAGTGAAACATTGCCACACTAAAATGTCACATTAGTGTCCTTTTACTAAACATATTGTCGGTAATTCTACCAATATTAATACTCTTTACATGTGCTCTCTGCTTCTAACTCTTGTGGATAAGTATGTGATATAAGAGGACTGGGGTGACAGGTGTAGGAGTGGGCAACAGCTGGACTTTCCTTCTTCTCTTGTATTATGTCTAACACAATACTCTTTAAATCTGCTTATGACTTCCTCATTGTTATAGTAAGGGTTAGTGTACCTGGGTATAGCCTGAGGTCCTCTTCTTCACCCATAGACAAGTCCATTAGGTAGGCAGCAGCTGCCCCCCACTGCATTTATGAGCATAATAAACCCAGTTCACTTTGGCATCGTGATTACTTAATTTTCAGTTCTTTACCAAAAAAAACTCTCCACAAGACATTCAAAGAACATAAACTAATGCATTTTATAAATATTATCCAAGGAACAAACAAGAAAGTTGTGAATATTAAATATGTATTGAGGGAGTGTGCTAAACACTTAGGGGATTAAATCTGTAGTTCTTAGCCAGTTTCTGCCAAACAAATGTGAGCTCTCTATACATGCACAAATATTAATGCATTTGGTACAAAATAAAATATTTCTAAACATTTGCAATGATTGTAACTGCATTTATAAGTGTTTATTTGATTCCAAAGTGTGATATGTTGTAAGTTGGGGCTCTACTCTATATCAGGGATGGGGTAATTTATCATGTGATTGACCTTCATATTGGTCTATTATCGCACAAATTATATATACATCATCACTGCTTTTCCTTGATAGGCTTTGCTCTATTAGTTTTATGTAGATAATTTTTTGAATAAAATGCACATAATGGTAAAGTGTTTATTAACTTTGTTGAATATTATTTTGCACTGAATTTGGAAAGGTTGTCACTCTAGTCCTGTGATTTAATTATTACAATCCTAAGTGCTAAACCCTTGAGGGTCATAAAGCACTACCACATGATTTAATATATCTTATTTTAAGATGGAACTTGTAATAAAGATTTTTGATTTGCCAGTATTAATGGAAAGATAAATATATTTGAATAACTAGGAAAAAAATATAATTCATATTTGTTAAAAAGGTATTAAGAGAATTGTTGAACTAAGGAGACTGTTGAAAGTTAGTCCATTATTATTACCCAAATAAAGAAATTTTACATATATATTGTATTTAGACTTGGTCATCATTCTTTATATGTAGACTTGTATTCTATATGTCTGACAGTCATCTGCCACCAAAGTTCAGAGCTTCTTTATACTCTGATATTTTAAGAGAAGTCATTATTATTATAATCAAGGGGGAAGCGCTAAACCTAGAGGATTATACAGCACCTGGAAGGCATTCGGGGAATTGGAGAACAGATCCAGTTCCCTAAATAAAGAGCCCCCTCATCAACATCAAGGAACCTTCCTTGAGGGGAGAGAAGTCATTAATTCTTGTTTATCTCCAACATGAATGTCATGTTGGAATAGAAGCCACTATTATATAAATAATTTTATAAACCACAAGGCTTATACAGCTCTGAGAATTTGAATTGAATCCACTGCTTTATGAATTATTCATTTCTCTCTAAAGTTGAAGGATGTTAAATGAATAGAGTAGAAAGATATATAATCTTGGGTACAATATACTTAGAAGCTTCAGGCCTTAGTGATTAACACTGAAATGCCTGTTATGACCAAGGTCAAATAGTTAACATAATCAGGTATGAAAACTTTGTCTTGGAATATCTTTTATTAAATCATTTCTGCTTATATAAGAAATATTAATTAACTTCATATATCATTAATAAGGCTATCAAGTTGATGGACCAACAGTAGTATTGATATCATTTGGGCTGTCATTCATCACCTGGAAAATGAAAGGTAATTAACTAAATCAAGTGGATACTTTGAATGTCTTATATCAAGGCACCCCTCCTGTATGGGTGTAGTTCTATACTGTTAATATGAGACCCTTAAAGAATAAATCGGAACCATACACAAGTAACCCACGGTTATTTGTGTGTTATACAATCCTTATGGGTTTACCACCTAGTTAAGATAATGATGTACATATTATTATATCAATCATAACTAAGTCCTGTACTCTACTAAAATATAGAAAATCATATTAATAAAACTGGGAAGTAACATTTGCTATAATTATGCTTATAGGGAATGAGTACTAATCAGATTTGACCCAAAGAGAGGGAGTACAGGTTCAACTCCTTGGATCCAGAGCCCTCATCATGGAATCTCTCTTAAGGAGACTACAGTATACGTATAATTATTACAATCAAAACTAAGCACTAAACCCTAGGAAAAATAAGAACAGTTGTAGAACTGGAAATAACACAAACCCAAATATTTGAGAAATAATTTTAACATTAATATTATAGGACTTTACCTACAATAAAAGTTTTATACATGTACAGAGATTTTACACATTTCTAAGAATTCACTGATCAAACAAATGGATCTATCACATTCAACTGCCTATTTTTTCCTTTTAAGAAAACTTTTAGCCCTGAAAAAATTTGAAATTTTGAGTGAAAGTTATTAAATACAAGTAATTTTTACCATATTTTAGGACTTTAACTTTCAGAATTTACCTCCAGTGTCATCACCACTCTAATAACCTTACTGACAGCAACAAATTATATCATACTTCCTTACTAACTCTTGAATCTCACTGGTCTCTGATCAAGCATAAATACCCCTGCAGTACTCTATGACCCTAGTGTGTTTAGTTATTATTGTAATAATTATCTAGCCTTTAATAAAAGCTTATATACATGGATTTCTCACATGTGTAACAAGTCAGTGATCAAACAAATACCTATACCATGCCAACAATCAATTCTGAGACATAAAAATTTAGACACTAAAAAATCACTGAGCTATAGCCTTAGGATATTGAAGTTTTCAATACTGCTTTAAGTCCACTTTGACAGAGTGAACATTATTAAATACTTTATCTAACCTTATAGTTCTATATACAGCAGGAAGTAATGAGCGAGTGCCTTAATGATTTTGAAGGGCTCTTGATCCAAGGAGTAGAAATATTCTCCAAGTGCTGTATGAGGCCTGCTGAGCATCATTATTAAAATCACTTGATTTTAACAAAGGAAATTTAAAAAGAATGGTTGCATGACTGACACAGGTTCAACACATTTTTGCAAATACGTATGTACTAAATTATAATAAACAATAAGACCCGTATAATTTGGTTAATACAATTAGCAGTGTTTGGAGGCATCAGATACATAGTAGAAGTTTGGAGTCTGCAACCATTTTTTTTTCTAAAATATTCACTTAGAATTGATGCCAAAGGCAGTAGTATAGCCATTCAACTAGGCTGAACCTAGTAGTATTGCCATTCAACCTACTTAAATGGCTATACCACTACCACAGGCATCTCAGGATCCATTCTACACAAACAATGATATACTTTCCAACATATGATAAGAGTGAGCAGTTCAGGACGAAAATAGATTCTTGTATAAATATGAAAGATAAAAATTTTACTGTAAATTCAAAGAAATGACCAAGAGAGAGTATAATAAAAATGGGAATGAACCATGGACTTCCAGTGTACATTAGGCCCTCCACATTTACAAGGGTTAGGGGATCAAGAACTTTGAAAATTCACGGATGTTTGGTAGGGAAATATAATAATACTGTACTGTAGCATTTGCAAATGTTTTGATGCACAAATACATTGTAGGGAAATGTATTATATTTACTTTGCCTAACAATACTGATTCATGAAAATATTGTGTATACATACATGTTATAGTTTAGTAAATATGATTGGAGGACTTGTAGGTTGGTAGACAGCAACCACCCAGGGAGGTACTACCGTCCTGCCAAGTGAGTGTGAAACGAAGGCTTGTAATTGTTTTACATGATGGTAGGATTGCTGGTGTCTTTTGTTTGTCTCATAAATATGCAAGATTATGGGTACATCTTGCTACTTACACTTAGGTCACACTACACATATATATATACACACCCCTCTGGGTTTTCTGCTATTTCTTGTTCTTGTTTATTTCCCCTTATCTCCATGGGGAAGTGGAACAGAATTCTTCCTCCGTAAGCCATGCATGTTGTAAGAGAACTAAAATGCCGGGGGCTAGTAACCCCTTCTCGTGTATATACTACTAAATGTAAAAGGAGAAACTTTCCTTTTTCCTTTTGGGGCATCCCACCTTGGTGGGATACAGCCGGTGTGTTGAAAGAAGAAAGATTGGAGTACTACCTGTAATTGCTATTTATGAAATACAGGCACACACAGTAAGCAGGATATTTCCCATTAGTGCAACTTTAAACAAGACATGACTGAAAATATTCCTAAGTACAGGAGAGCCCAGTCTGTATGGCTCTTAGGTTCATATCAACATATGGCAGAAAAATATCATATATTGTTCAAAACACTGAATGTATTTAACTATTAAATTGCTCAATAAGCTAGGGATAAACAAAAAATATTTAAATAAATACACAGTACATACAATATTTACCTTTAAAAAATAGTGTGGTTGCCCCCTGCACTTTA